TCTATTCCTTTCTTTCGGAAATTCTGGCCCCAGTTGAAACAACTGGTTTGTAATGTTATCCAGGGCTTCTGTCTTGGTACTGTCGATATCTCCCGCCTGAACTATGCAGTGATAACCCTGATCCCCAAGGTTAAGGGTGCTGATGTTATTTCCCAATTCCGACCTATTGCTTTGATTAACAACTTCGCCAAATTCCCGGCTAAAGGCTTTGCGAATCGTTTGTCACCGGTTGCTCATAGAGTTATTAGTCCTTATCAATCTGCTTTCATCAAAGGGCGTTTCATCCTTGATGGTATCCTATCCCTTCATGAGATTGTTCACGATCTTCACGCTCGGAGAGCTAAAGCGGTTATCCTTAAGCTAGACTTTGAGAAAGCCTATTGACTCTGTTAGCTGGCCCTTCCTCAAGCAGGTCCTTCTTGCTAAAGGTTTCGACGGTGCTTATGTTCATCGTATCATGCAGTTGGTCTCGGGTGGCCATACTGCCGTTTCGGTTAATGGTTTTGTTAGCAATTTCTTCGCCAATGGTAGGGGCCTTCGCCAAGGGGATCCTGCTTCCCCTGTTCTTTTTAATTTTGTGGCCGACGCCTTCTCGTGCATGCTTTCCAGGGCGGCCCGTTGTGGGCACATTGCTCCTGTGGTCTCTCATTTACTTCCGGAGGGTGTTTCCCACTTGCAATATGCGGATGATACAATTATCTTGGTGGAGATGGATGACACCTGCATTGCCAATCTTAAATTCATCCTGTTCTCTTTCGAAGCTGTTTTGGGTCTTAAGATTAATTTCGCTAAAAGTGAGGTCCTGGTGACGGGTGTGGATGAGGCGGAAGCCTTGCAGGTTGCCAGGCTTCTGAACTGTTCTTTGGGTTCCTTTCCCTTTAAATATCTAGGCCTTCCTATCTCTCCTGGCGTGCTCCATGCTAAAGATTTCGCTCTGGCGGTCGCTAAAGTGGGGAACAGGGTGCTCCCTTGGAGAGGCAGATATAATACCAATGCTGGCAAAGTTTCTCTAATTAACTCCTGCTTATCCTCTCTCCCCATGTTTCTTATGGGCTTCTATCTTCTTACGGATGGCGTGCATGCTGGCTTCGACAAACATAGGGGAGCCTTCTACTGGAATTACATGGATAACAAACGAAAATATAGGCTGGTCAAGTGGCACCATATGTGTAAGCCTAAAAACCGTGGGGGGTTAGGTATTATTAATACTCGGGTGATGAACATTTGTTTGCTTATCAAGTGGTGGTGGAAAATTTTAACTAGTGGGGCTGACTCGCTTTGGTTCTCGATTCTTAAGGCTAAATACTTCCCACATTCCAACCCGATGTTTGCCACCGCGAGGCGCGGCTCTCAATTTTGGAAATCCCTTGTCAAAGTGAGACATATTTTCCTGGAACATGTTAAATTTAATGTTGGTAATGGGATGGCAGTCCGCTTTTGGTTGGACTGGTGGTCGGGGGATGCCCTCCTCGCTGAGTTTTCCGGTTTTGTTCTCTTACTGTCCTAATCCGGGTATCTCCATCGCGGAGGTGGTGGCTAATAACTGGGATCTGGCCTTTCGTCGGGCCCTATCTCCTGAAGAGTTGGAAGATTGGCAAAGTCTCTCTGCCCTCTTCCCCGTGCTCTCGGAGTCGGCCGATTCTGTAGTCTGGCCTCATTCGGCCTCAGGTAGATTTACGGTCAAGTCGCTTTATTCTAGACTTATTGGTGGTACTCCTTCGACCAGATTCTCTTGTGTTTGAAAGTCCAAAGTTCCTCCTAAGATTAAAGTTTTCCTTTGGCAAGCCTTTCGTGGTCGCCTGCCGGCTGCTGACCAGATTAAAAAGCGCAATGGGCCTGGCTCGGATTTCTGTCATCTATGTGGGGCCTTGGAGAACTCTGATCACATCTTTTTCAATTGCGTGCTGGCCAAGCTGGTTTGGTGCTGTGTCAGATCTTGGCTTCAGGTCTCTTGGAACCCCTCCTCTTTCTCCGATATTCGAACCCTAGCCAAAGCTTTGGTTGGGGTCACCAAGAGGGTGTTTTGGGTTGGCCTGGGTGCCTTATGTTGGGCTCTGTGGACCATTAGGAACAAATTTACTATTGAGCATATCTTCCCATCTAAGCCTGTTGACGTTCTTTTCAAATCATGTATATTATTGCAGCAGTGGAGATCATTGACTAAGGAGGTTGATCAGGATGCCCTGGACCTGCTCATCGACAAAATCCGGGCTTCGGCATCTCACATCTCCGGACGGGATCCTGTCGTCTAATCCTGGTGGTGCTGTTTGCGGAGTTTAGGTCTCATTCCTTTCCGGCCTGCGCGCCGTGTATGGCAGTTGCCTGTATCCATCCTTCCTTGGCTACTCTTATATACTTTTTGTTCCGTGCGCTGTGTGCGTTCTCCTCGTTAACTGGTCTCTTTCCTGTTTGGTCTCGTGACGCTGCCATGTGGCTTTATTTATAAAGTCGGGCTCTGGCCTTTTCTCTAAAAAAAGCTCGGGCATGACCCGGCCCTAAAAGACAAAAGGTGGTGTTTTCTTATTTCTAAAAGTACCTTAAGAATAGAGAAATGCATTATTATCCTATATTTTTGTTCAGCTCTTATTTCTAGGTGTTATGTTTTTTCTTTTGGGGTGGCGCCTTCGGGCTGTAAAGTAGAGCCTTAGCCCGAACATCGTGCTTTGGGTCGGGCCGTTGTGTGGGACTGTTGATGCACATGCCTAATCCATCCATCATCTCCCCAACGAGACATGCATGTTAATATTGATGCAGTTGTATGAAAGAATAAAAGGATGGGGTGTAGCTGCTACTATCCCTGGAGATGAGCAGGCAGGGCTACCCGGTAGCATTGTCTATGGTGTTTCCAAAGGGTGATGACCTATAAGCGATTGCATGTCAAGAAGTTGTATCATAGGCAAGCAATCTGAATTTGGTAAGGGTGGGTGTTGCTAGCAGCTGCTCGTTTGTGATTTCTAATCTTTATGGCAGGGGAAACGTGCACTATGGACAGATTATCCAAGTACGAGTGCAAACGTTGGAGTTCTCTTCGATGGGGTTTCTCCATGAGAAGAGGGTAAACAATTGGGAAGGCCATGATCTGAACTCAGTACGCAATATCTCGTTAGAGGGAAGAAGACATGTCTCGCTCCCATATATGCTAGAAGGCGTTTGTGTACTTGCATGGTGTTGCCACACACCGACATGGCTCCACCACTCCATGTAGCATGTTAACTCGAGGGAGGCTACAATATAATCAAGTCTTAGCATTAGAAAAAGGGAAACGCTCCGCTTCAACCGGCCGATTTCCACACCATTATCCGCCGCCTCCTCCACGCGACATGTGTCTTGCGTGGGACCACCAACCACTACAACGGGAGGTTCCTGTTCCTCTTCAATATCTTCGCAAGCGAATGAATAAGGTCCCGAGCGCATGAGACTGCCGATGAGGTCTGGATGCGGGCAAAATTTTCTGCAACATTACCTATGTTGCAGAAGTTTTTCCGCAATATCACTGATGTTGCAAAAAAGATGAAGACCAAAAAAAAATTTCTGCAACATTATCTATGATGCAAAAGTTTTTCCGCAACATCACTTATTTTGCGAAAAATGAAGCTCAAAAACATTTCTGCAAATTGACATATGTTGCAAATGTCTTCCGCAACACAACTTTTGTCACAAATATTTCTGCAACAAGATATCTGTTGCAAATGGGTTCTGCAACCTGTCTTTTGTTGCAAAACTAGAGGAAAAGCTATGTTGCTAGATTTGCCAGATCAGATGGCCCGCGAGGCGGAAAGATCCGCCGGGCGACAGATAGCATGCCCCTTGGAAAAAATAGACAAACGTGATGTGGACCGTAGGATCTTCAATGGATGTCCTAGATTTTCTGAGAGGGTGGATGGATGTCTTTTATACAAAACTGTTATTTAGGGATGTTGTTGCGGAATCATCCAACTTGTCCCTGACAGCAAATCGCGAAAACATATTCTAGCAATCCTGTAGATGGACGGAGCAATCAATTAAGTTGATGCTCCGTCGAAGTTTTTTTTGGAGGGATTGATCCATCAAAGATGTCATTGTAGGAAAGGGTCATGGGCCGGCAGCCAGGCACGTAGTTTTGTCTCGTCGCATTCGACGTCTTGTCCATTGATGAGGCTGGACTGGAGTTTGGCCGCTTTGCACACTCCCAACAGGGCAGGTAAACATGGTATGTCCGATTTGGAATTGTGTACAAGCCTGGTTTACCTAGCTTTCACCGTCATCAGTGTCCCTATCCCAGCTTGATTTCAATGTGCAAGCAAAGCAAACGTACACAGAGCCCGTACGTACACGATCAGCAACGCGTAATTTGCCGCCTTATAATATTGTTTTTTTCGAAAGTATCATTATACTAGACTTAATTACGTATAGGGCTGCAAGAAAAGCACGAGGCTCGTAGCCGCTCGAGATCGACTCGTTTTTTGACTCGACTCGAGATCGACTCGAAAAGAAACAAACTGAGTTTGAACACTTTTTGTAGCTTGATCGAGAAACGAGCCGATCTTGAGCTAATGTTGGCTCGCTCGATTTTAGCTCGATAGCTCCACAGAATATCATTATGTTAAATGATCATGCCATATATTAAACGAAAATAAGATAATTTAGTACCATATATGTTGTCAATAATTTTTTTCCATTTTATTTACCAACGAACATGGAAACTTAATTAAGTGCAGAGAAGATTTAGGCATAATTATGTCACGCGGTCGACTATGTGTTAAATATCTTATATTTTTGGCAAAGGTTCTTAGCATATTCACCTTAATTTTTTTGTTTTTATCCACAGATTTATAATTTTTACCATCTCATTTAGCTCGAAACTAGCTCGAGATCGTTACAAACTAAGCATGAGTCATATTCTACAGCTCGATCATGAGCTTCATTTAGTTTGAGCTCGCTTGAATTTTCATATGAGTTGAGCTGAGCCAACTGCAACTCGCTCGAGCTTGACTCGTTTGCAGCCCTAATTACATACGTACCGGAGAGTGCGATCATGTCGGTCTGCGAGAGCCCGTTGGTGGCGAAGAGCGCCGTGAGCTGGTCGAGGCTGGACGTTGGCGGGGCCAGCTTGCCGGGGACGCTGCTCGCCGTCGAGCTCAGCCCGTCCAGCCGCCCCAGCTCCACCGCGTACGACGGCCCGCCGGCCTGCGCCAAACCGCGTACGTGCCTTGCGTTAACTAATTATAAATACTTGCGTGCGTACGTATGAGAATCAGCCGGAAGAGATCTATGCATGAACTTGTTACCAGTGCAATGGCGTCCCTGGTGGCCATGACTAGTATGTCGGCGCAGGAGACCCGGTTCCGGCACCGTGGCACGGCGTCGACGGCCGCCTTGGCCTTGATCACCGTGTCGAAGCCGTCGCCGGCCAGCGATAGGTTGGCAGTGCTGTCCTTCTCCGCCGTGTTGTTGGCCGTGGACGCGATCAGCACCGACGCGTCGCACCCCTACATGCACCCAAACGTTGAAGCGTAGCGTATGACGGCATGGCTCTTCATGCGCGTACGTAGGGTGCATGTTTGCCTGTTACCTCGACGAAGCAGTCGTGGAAGAAGAGGTGCACGGTGGCGCCGACGGTGATGAAGGTCTGCTGGAACTTCTTGGCGACGGCGCCCCGGACGATGGCTTCGACGTCGGGGCACACGCCGGCGTAATGGTCCCGCCGGAGCTGCGCCGCGCACACGTTGGCGCTCGCGGCCAGTACCGCCAAAGCCAGGAGCGCCGCCACGGCCGGACTCATGTCGCCCGCCGTACTCTCTTAGCTCGGTAGATAGCGCGTGTTCGCCGCCGCCACAAATAATATGCGGACGCAGACGTACACGCAGTGGGGCGGCGCCGGGTGTTCGGTTTGTCTTGGTGGAGCGCAAGGCGACGCGACGACGGCAAGTTTGGTTTTGTGGTAGGGGCACCCAAGGATAAGGTCGCACAGAGAGGGCCACTAATGAATCGATCGGTGGTGGTCTCTCCATCGATTACGCTTATCGGCGTGCAGTGCAGGCAGCGAGTGTCCGTTGTCTTCGTGACAGTGATCTGACAACGATGCTACTCTTGAATATTCCGATGCCCATAAAATTAAGGGTTTGTTTGGTTTCAATAAATCACTTGACTTATAAGTCAAGTCATTTTGGTTGTCATCTGATTTATAAGTCATCTGACCACATCTTTTTACCTTATTTTTTATATAAAGGTGGTGTGACTCATGTAAAAAAGGGGATTTATAAGTTTTAAGTTAGGATGGAGCAACTTATAACTTATAAGTTGAATTTGTTTGGCAAAATAAGTCATTTTTTTCCACTTTTCGACTTATAAGTTGGTGACTTATTTGAAACCAAACATGGCCTAAGCTAGCCTTAAAATCTGCGCTACACAGGGTACTCGAGGGATCCGGCTTGCCTGCTCCTTTCCCGTGCTCCCATCCGTGCTCTCACTTAATCCTACGGCTGTCTTTTTTTCCTTTTTTCTTTTTAATCTAATCATGTTCCCCTCTGATTTTAAGGGGGTGGGGCCGGGTCTTATTTTGCTCCAATCAAATCAAGCCATGTAGACGGGAGCACGGATGGGCACACGACGGGGGAGCAGGCAAGTCTCGTCCGTACTCGAGTGCTTTAGAAAGGTTGCAACATACACTTGTATTTCCACCATGTTAATATATATCCAGTATTTCTATTTCCCTCACGGAAAACAGTCGAGTACTCGATCAGCTCTGCTGGAGACAGGGCGGGCAGAAAGTCTGGCCGTGTCGTAGGTACGTAGTTGGTTTCATCGCTGCGTAGTGCATGCCGTAAGTGGACTGGGTTTTCCAAGCGCGTAATTTCTGGTATGAAACAAGGAAGACAAATGAATCTCTGTTTATTTCATTATTGATGATGTTTGTACATTGTATATCTCTCAAGGGACGCAAACAAATGGACATATCCATTCGAGAGGGAGTGAGGAGAGACGCGCCGGTTAGCGCCGATCGTCTTGAAACATGCTCCTCCAAAAACCCTGTGAAAAAAATATGAAAAGATATACATAATATGCTATGAAAAACTTCTTTCAAAGATCTAATGGGAATTACGGACAAAATGATATATCACAATGCTCGCTTTACAGTTGCCTCATTAAAAACTTTCCGTGAGAACCATATAGAAATAAACTTATAAGACGAAAAAGGGTTTCCCTTCTTTATATTATATAAAGCAAACATCACTACATAACAACTGAGACACCGATATAAATACACGCCACCACCGCACATGACACACACACATCCAAGGCAAGATACAAAGGTGCCGGGCACCGACACATCACCCCACCGACAACTAAGCCACTGCAGATGTGCGAAGAGGACCGCTTGAAGCCGACAGGGACCTCTACCATGAGCAACCACAACGGAGAGGTGAGGCGGACCACAACGAAGCTAGGACTCCAAAAATTGTGCCTCCCAGAAGGTTACAACCACATATAGCCGCCACCACCCGATCCCAAAGATCAAGATTTCACCCGGACTCCCGGAGTAAGACGAAAGGAGTGGGAACGCTGCGACGGAGCCTTCATGAAGGATACGACGTCCACGGACGCCGCCATCGTCGGCTAGAGCATAGGTGGACAGGTGATATACCCCACCGTTCACATCCCTCCGTCGCATCCTAGCTTCGCCAACCACCCGTCACCAGGCCACCCGCGTGGCCAAGGCTGCCCGCCCGCACTTGAGACGCAAGTTCCGCCCACGAACGCCACGCCTCCCGCCGCCCGGGCCGCCGCCTGATATTCAGACATCCCCAAGACCAGCGAAGTGACCGGCTTTAGTCCGAAAGGACGCCCACAACCGATGAAACCACAGCCTACGTCCCGCCTTGAGCTTCGCCAGAGTTGCCGCCGCACACAAATGGACAGGGAATGGGGAGAAGGAGGAGCGAACGCATCCACGACCGGCACATCCTGTGCCGACGACGGGCAGCCCTAGTGTCGGCGCCACCCACCCCTCCCACTAACCTCCCCACCGGCATCCGATGTGCAGCCCCGCCGCGGCGGTCGAAGCATCTCCCCGCAAGGCCACCAACGTCGCCCCGTCCACCGGCATGGAGACCCCGAAGACTGTCGCCGCCCACTGCCAAGATTTTTCGCCAAGAAGCCCATCCACGCCGCTCGCCAACTTCCCGCCAGCGGAGCCAGCAAGAAACCGGACAACACGTTCGCCAAGACCACCGCTGTTGCGCCGCCACCCCTAGCAGCCATCTGTCGAGGTAAGGGTGGTCGCCCGCAACCCAGGTCGCCCCGACCCGTAGCCCTGGATGGACCGCCGCCGCCGCTGTCCCTCCAGCGTGCCCCACCAGATATGGCCGGAGAAGTCCAATCTGCACCTACCGCAGCCGACGCACCACAAGCGCCCGCCCCCGCCTCCGCCGCAACGCCACGAGATACCGCCGATGCCACCTAATCGCCGAGCCACCGAATGAGAGACTATACGCGCATGCTTCGGGAATCACAAACCTTGACGCCAATATTCCTACTAAACACAATCATTCACTAGTAACTCCCGCATATTGCCATCTCTATATCGCAAAACTATTGCAAGGAATCAAACATATCATATTCAATGATCTACAAGTTTTATGTAGGATTTTATGACTAACCATGTGAATGACCAATTCATGTTGACTCTCTAAATAGATATAAGTGAAGCAAGAGAGTTTAATTCTCTATACACAAGACTTGCCCACACTCTAATAAATATAAGTGAAGCAAAAGAGCATTCTACAAATAACGGTTTTCTATATGTATAGAAACAGGCAATCCAAACTTCAAATGATATAAGTGAAGCACATGAAGCATTCTATAAAGCCATACTCAAAAGATATAAGTGAAGTGCAAAGAGCATTCTATAAATCGACCAAGGAATATCTCATACCAACATGGTGCATTATTAAAAGAAAATAAAAAATCACACGATGCTCCAAGATTTACACATATCATGTGAACAAAACAAAAACCGAAACATACCGATACTTGTTGAAGAAAGATGGGATGCCTTCCGGGGCATCCTCAAGCTTAGACGCTTGAGTCTCCTTGAATATTTACTTGGGGTGCCTTGGGAATTCCCAAGCTTGAACTCTTGCCTCTCCTCCTTCTCCTCATATCGAGACCTCCTCGATCTTCGAACACTTCATCCACACAAAAACTTAACAAAATCCTCGTGTGGTCCGTTAGTATAATAAAGCAAATCACCAATTTAAGTATTATTATAAACCCTTTATTTTTGCATTATCCCTACTGTATTCTAACTTCTTCATGGCTTATACCACTCGATACACTCCATAGTTCCATCAAAACAAGCAAACAGTGCATTAAAAACAGAATATGTCAAAACAGGACAGTTTGTAGCAATCTGAACATTGACCATACTTATGTAACTCCAAAATTTCTGAAAAATTAGGACAAAATATTTTTTTTGCATAGCATTACTTTGTAAAATTTTTAGAAACTTTCGACGTTCTAGTAAAAAAAATGTAAATTCACGCACTATAGCCAAAGTTTCTATTTTTGCACCGCACATACCAACAAGCGATCTTATCATCTTAAATGCAAATCTTGGCATATTACTTTCATAATAGAATGGATTTGTACAAGGGAATAATTATTTTTGTGAGAAACTTCCATGAAAAATTCTACATTGTTTTCATGAGCATGAACACAAGTGTTCAAGGTCGACCCTCACTTCTTCAATGCATAACCTTCCAATCGCTTCTCTTTTTGAAAATGTTTTTAAGTCCCCCTCTATATTTTTTGTTTTTAAACTTTATAAAAGCACACAACAGAAGTAAATGACTCCCTAAAACTTTCGGGTTGTCTCTATGGCAGTGCTTTCTTCAAAGCCATTAAGCTAGGCATAAAGTGCCCAAGTAATTGATCCACCCTGATCCCAAGGTATATCAAAGCTAATTTTATTTAACAATGATTTGTATTTTAGTAGTGAGCACAAAGCAACATATCCTATATACTTAAGAAGTTCAGCCCCACTATCTTATTTATCTAAGCATGCAAGCTGTCCACATCAGCATCTAGCCATGTCAACAACTCTAAACATCCATACTACCACGTCATGCCTTCAGTTTCTATTTGCATGCAACAGACCGAAGCCAGCCACCTCTTGCATTTTGTTTCCTGTGAGAAAGAAATTCACCCACCTTATGCATGCTCACGTGTCATTAATTAGTGTTTAACCAACACACAAGTTGTTTTGCAAGTTGTAACTACATGACGTTTCCCATCCCCAATCCCATATCTTCTCCTCTGCCTTATAAAATTCCACCACACTATCTGATGCTTCATCTCCCTTGATCAGCGGATCCATTACATGCCCCTTAAACTCCCAAATGTCATCCAGCTTCCTGCAGACTGCAGCCTAACACCTGACCGGGTCATTTTGTTATGAGGTACCATTACCAAACACCTGCAAGTTACTGCTGCTATAATTGCTGACCATGGTGGGCATGTCGCCTGCTGCCGCCCCCATGACCTTCACTCCATGAGACCATGATCAACGTTTTGGTGTCATCTCCAGCGCCTTCACCCCGCCTCTCCTGCCCGTTGCATCATGGACAAGTCCCCTACTTTTATCCAGCCTTCGACTGCAGCAAGACCTCTCCCATGAGTAGGTAAATAACCCTTGGTGTGAATCCTCGATTATGTCTCCTAAATTAATCTTGGCATGTGGTTAATTTTCTTCATGCACCTCAATTTCTGCTCAGCTCATAC